TCACTCACTCACTCACTCACTCACTCACTCACTCACTCACTCACTCACCCATTGACCCGTCCATAACATACCCGATGCGCCGACTAAGAGGTATTTTTTACAAAAAAATAACTCAAAAAATAGAAAGGAATAAAAATGATGGAATGGAATGAAAAATGGACGAAAAATATTGTGCCAATTACAATTAAAGGAAAATGTGGATAGCTCGAAGGCAAAGGGGAACTTTTACAATGTACGTTTCCCATTTCCATTGTTTTACTAAGCTCTTATTTTAAAGTTCTCTGAACACTTATGGAAAGGCACAAGCATCAACACGATAAATTAGACTGCGATATTATTCGAAAATACATACACAGCAAAGTTCAGTACCTGCATTTTTTGCCGCTTGATATCTATCAAGGAAGTTATCGTGTTCTAAAAAACAAAAGGACAAATTCGCCGCAAATTTTAGGGCCATCTTTTCTTCTCGTGTTGATAATTCTTTAACCGGGGGTAGAGAGACGGGCTCATTTGAGCCATAAAAGCGAGGTAGCAGACGTCATTCGCCACCATATTTGGTAAAATTTACCCCAACAAAGCCCATGGTAACGCAAAGCTAATGACGAAGGTCATGCATTCTAACGTTGTTTAGAAGTCAATTCTTCGCGGAAAAATTCCATAAGGGCCTCGTAAAATCTTCCAAAATGGCTCTTTTGAACAGAAGGCTTAAAGACAAGGATGTCGACCATCTCCCATTGATCGAGAAACCCGAAAAAGTTGTCGTAGATCTCGATGAAGAAGACGACGAAAACGAAGAAGTTTTTGCCCACCATGGAATCACATTGTGGGTGTCGGATGCCGTGATCATGATCATCCAACATGTGCAGATTTTTGCGCTGATTTTGGCGATGGGCGAACGCTGGGGTTATCCAAGACAGTTTGTGCGATATGCTTCGTTTACATTTATTTTCAACCTGGACATTTGGGAGTTTGTGAAAGTTTATTCCGGAGCTTACACGGGACCGCCAAACCTTGACACTTTTATTCCTTCAGAGAACATCGGTGTCAATTACGGATACTATTTGATAGGATGGACCATTGGTATTGCTGTTGTTGGTTGTGGATTTTTAATAACTTACGCTGTTTTCCTCTATCGAAAACCGTTGTATTTGCTGCTTCACATTGCCAGAATGAAACGCATTTTCAGTGTTTTTATCCAGCTGGTGAGCTTGCCCGTCGGTACTGCATACGCTCGTGTGTTCCACTGCCGAAGTGATGGAGTATGGAACGTGGAAAACAGCGTTCAGTGCTACACTCTGGACAGCTTGGAGCACTGTTTGTTTGTTAGTTTCGCCATATTAGTGGCGATCCTTCTGTTTTTGGCGTACCCAATAAACATGATCAGGAAAATACGAGGTCAAGTTATCTGCTACAGTGAAGAGAAACACGAAGGATACCTGCAACTGAAAGAGGCTGAATACAATCAAGGACTTGACATTTTGTGGGCAGTCGGACAGTTCCATCTCTTTTCATCTTTCCGCCGACTTTGGATCTATTACAGGCCTATTATGCTGATGCTTAAGTTTTGCTTGGTGGCCTATTTTGCAACTTTTCTGCTTTTCACCGAGAACAACCCAGAGAGACTTACAATGGGAGAGAAACTGCTCATAAACATTCCAATTTTTATGTTCTTTTTCCTGGTGTTGTTTGGTTTGTTTTCTTCGGGACTGGCTCGGCCGCCTCTCAGTGCATTCAGGGCTTTTACACGGTGGTGTTGCTGGAAGGGGATATCCCGACTGTTGCATGTTCTTTTCAACATTACTCCAACGTGGGTAGTGGCCAAGTTCTTTTTAGTTTTACTGGCTGTTGGTGTGTTTGCCATTGATCATTTGGGTGGAGGAATGGGAGCACTGTTGTCTATGTTGAGTCTTATAATGGTCCGAAGTCTCCCATTCCGTGTGTCGTCATTCAACTTCATGATCTTGTTTTGCTTGGCTGTCAATATAAGTAATGCTTATGTGGGTTGCATGGTTGAGATGTTCAACAACAGTGAAACAGTGAATGCCTTCTTTGCGCCACCCATTCCACTCACCATTCTAACATGGGTGAACATATCTTGGGCATGTGTTATATTCCTGTGGATGGTCTATCTGCTGCTGCGATACATGCATGTCATTCTTCCAAAGAAGCCCCTTTGGCCAATGCTGAGTACTGATGGAAAAAGCAACATAAGTGAAGAAACAAAGAAGTACATGCGAGCTGTGCTGAAGGGACGTCACACTTTGGAGAAAGCACTTTCAAGTACACCTATCTTCGCACCAGTTCATGAATTGGAAAGGCAGATTCACATCATCAACGCATATTGCCGAGAAGCAGAATATCTCGATGACCCAACTTTTGATTCATTATGGGACCTTCTTGATGAACTCATTGAAGCCCACAGAACCTTGGCACCTCAGTCGCTGTTTTCACAATCTGTAAAGAAGACAATCCGTGAGACAGCCAAGGAGTTCATGACCATGATGCCACAGATGAGAAAGAGGCTTGATCAGCGAGAATATGACTTCATTCTGATGGATCCAATGAAGAAACGCATGCTTTTGAAAATGTATGTGTTGGGAACATTTGTGAATGGGCGTATGGATAAAGTCAAACAGGATGTGGAACAGAAAGTTTACAAAGCACTAAAGGAGGCCGAAAATCAGAAAACTCCATCTAGTCTGTATGGCAGCACCACTGCGTTTGAATGGGATAGTATGATAGACATGGCAGGTCCTTATACAACATTTGACACAATGAGAACCACGTCAAGTACGGGGAGCCGACCAGGAACTGGAGTCTCTGTTGGTTCACGGCCAGATAGTGTTGAGAAGTTACTGGATGCAGTTGAAGACTGGGAAGAAGGACAAGAAGCAGCCAGTAGTAAAAAGAAAGTTTCTGTTGCATCGATGCCATTAATTGAGGAACATCCTTCATCTCCGTCAGGTAAGCTACAGCTATACCTGTGCATTGTTGCTTAGTTAAATGAACCTCGACCTACCCTGTGATTGCATGACTGAGGGTATGGTTGCTCAATTTAGTACTATGTACTCTCCTTGATAAGATAGTTACTATCGCAGTGCCTCCCTCCATGCAGGGGCATAAAATGGGTACCTGCAAATTTGGGTCATCTCTGTAACAAAAATGTCAATTTTTGGTAAAACACAAGGGCAACCATCCTTAAAGGCCCTGTAGTAGGAGGAGATTTTTTTCCAACATGTCTTACAATTTTGTTGTGATGCAAGAAAATTGCCAGTGTAACAGTCACTGGAATAAACATCTCACAATCCAGCAAGAATTGCACAAATTTTTTGGAGTTAAGTACTACTATTCATGAGGATTGTAGCTACTTGTACAACAATTTTTGTTTATGTGTTGCAGAAAAAAACATGAGAGGGGTGTTACACAGAGCATTGTGCAGCTTGTCTGATCTGGCAACAGTGCAACTAAATTTCAGGACAAGTTGAACAGTTCATTGCTTAGTGTCAGTTAACAGCACTGCTAGATCCATAGTGGTGTGCGCCAGTCACAAGACTGCTGCAGTTCCTGTTTTAAGTAACATAAAATATATTTCCTTGGGTTGCAGGATCTACATACTCGTCAGCTTCCATTCCCGGTCAAATAAATTATGACGATGATCAGAGGCGACCTAGAAGTGCTGGACGCTCATCACTGCTTAACCAGCGAGTAAGAGATGGATCAACCAGCTCAACAGCATTAATTGGGGACAGTTCTGCCACAGAACAGCCCAGTACGTCAGGGTCACAGTCATCACTAAGAAGTACTGATGATCGGAAGCCACTATTATAGCATGAAAAAAATACTTGTAATGTAAATATGTAAGGATAAACTAAAGCCAAGGACATCCATACATGGTAGAAATGCAGTTTATGAGCCAGCCATCAGTATGTAGATACTAATATTTTCTGTATAAAGTATGCAAATAGTAACATAATGTAAAAAGACAAAATCATTTTTGAGTTGTCTGTGTTAAGAACCATTTGGATGAAAACAAGTTTCATCCAGTGAAAGCATAGTTAATTGAGGGGAATGGTTATAATTTTGAAACTTGACAAAGTTCTTTGTTGTATGTGTTTGATGTCTCTTTTGGCCTTGGCCATGCACAAAACAAAGGAGTTGTTTAGTACTGACCGGGAAACTAACCAATAAAACTGTTTTGATTACGTAACTCATGCATAGTGTATGAATGCAAAACAAAAGATTTTGCACTGTCGTAGACCTTCCAACATAAATCTTGGTATCTTTGTTTGTTCCTTTGATGTTTTCCAGGCTTCATAACCATTCCCCATAACTATGGTGAAAGTGAACCCAAGAGATAAATTCTACTTGCACATGAAAGCTTTTGCATCTGAAACAGTCTGTGTTAACAAATTTTGAAAAGCCGTTTTGATAACTGAGCCCACATTCAAATTGTTGTAGCATTGTAATGAGAATTTACTTGAATGTATTGAACATTGATGATGAAAATTGAGAGACTTTTTGTATTGCTTATTTAGGTGGCCAGAGAAATCCATTTGTAAATTATGTATTTTTGATGCTTGACAAGTTTTACCATACTTTATTTAAGTATTTCATTATTTATGAATTCAATATTTTTCTAAAGCGTTAGGTAGCTGGAAGTTGATTGAAAGCCAGTGGTTCCATAATTTTTGAAAGTTTTGGACTATTATTTTTATTGGAGCATAAAATCTTCTTTTCATGAATCTTCCATGGTTAGATAACTTGTGAACAACCTCCCTAGTTTAGTACAGGGTGAAAAAAGGAACTGCACTACCCCATACCCTATTGTGGAACCTGTCTCCAGGCTAAGGGTTGGATATCCAGGTTACAGAGGTTTTTGTTGTTCTCTCATTTAAAAGTCTACATACGAGCGAAGTAGCCCATCAGGCGGGAGCTTATCCTGGTTTCCGTAGCATAAAGTGACTAGGAGTATTTCTACTCCCCCCAGATGGGATGCTAGTCCATTGCAGGGTTATCTTAGCATTAAGTTCACCGGTACCAATTTATACACCTGGGTGGAGGGAGGCACTATGAGAGTAAAGTGTCATGCCCAAGAACACAGCAGTGTCCCTGGCCAGCAGCTGGATCCAGAGATGAGGGCACTAACAATGAGGCCACTGTGCATGAGGCCTCTGTCCTCTCATCTACTGATGCCAAAAAGCCTGTGCAGCAGTTGGCAGTTGTAGCTCAGTGATTGCTACTGTTTTGCTGGTCAAATTTGATTAAGAGAAGAGAAGAGAAACCCTTGGGATCAGGGAAGATGCAGACACACCATAAAGTAGCATAATTCTAGGATTTACCTGTAATAAAAGATGTTAACAACCCCAGTTACTGCAAAAGTGCTTTTTTCATAAATTTTATAGGTTATTTTTGTACAAAAGTATAGTACACCGGTAATAAATTAAAGTAGATTCGCTTTGTATTTTTGTGGATGTGCATTGCTTGACATGGAATGCTCCAGCAAAATCTGTCAGCTTTCAAGTCCCCAACATTTAGGGAACATACACCTGCTAAGCTACTTGGATGAAATATCAGTAACAGGGGGACATACTGGTAACAAATAGTGACAAGCGAAATTGTTTTGCCAATTTTCTTTTAATTTCTGACAGCAGGCATAAAAATTAACATTTTTTTAAAATTCATGTGACACAATTTTCAGATTGGTGAGGGTCTCCTCTAGGAGGGGGGAACTCCAATTTAAAAGGGATGGGGGGAATTTTGAAAAGAACCCTTAAGAGGACGTAAGAGGTACCAAGATACTGTTTTGTGGGAGTGGCTTGAAAGTTTAGTTTCACCCCTCAGAGGTGCCAATTCTAAAACAGCGCATTATCTTCTGAAATATTTCTTCGGCTCAATACCCTGAAAGGTTCAGCAAAAGCTCTCGGTGGGGACCTTTTGAGGCTGAGCACCCCAAGTGGTACCAAAACCGCTTTTTTAACCCCTAAAAGGTACGGCGAGCACCCGTCCTCTTTGCATGCAAAGTCCGGTGTCTTTGGCCTTTCTGAAATGACTGATAAAAGGTCAAAAACAGAGAACAAAATCAGGGAAGGAAAAAAGTCCAGAGGGCTTATTTCTAAGTTCTCACGTAATGTAAAACATATTTTGTGGCTTGTGATACGTAATCTGGGATGTCTGGGATGATGGCGACACAAAATTTTAGAGAAAATGTATGAAGCGAATGAGAGTCGAGCTTGAAATTTCGGAGGATCGAAAGTTCAGTCAGCGAAAAGATCCAAGAACGCGATTGGTCCAAAGCTATTCATATTATCCAATCAAAAACGGGGAAATTTTTAAAGGCTTCCACGTCTAGTTTTCCTAAGGCGTCCGCATATTTTTATTAAATATTCGCGCAGACATCGTTGTGTCATCTGAAAAGCGCTAACTGAAGAGAGGGGTTTCATTGTTGTGATTTGTGAAAAAACATGTCTGGACGTGGAAAAGGAGGTAAAGGCTTAGGGAAAGGAGGCGCTAAGCGTCACCGAAAGATCCTTCGCGACAACATCCAAGGTATCACCAAACCAGCCATCCGTCGTCTTGCTCGCCGTGGCGGTGTCAAGCGGATCTCTGGCCTGATCTACGAGGAGACTCGTGGTGTTCTCAAAGTTTTCCTTGAGAACGTGATCCGTGATGCTGTGACATACACCGAGCACGCCAAGAGAAAGACTGTGACAGCCATGGATGTTGTGTACGCTCTGAAACGACAAGGCCGTACTCTGTACGGATTTGGCGGTTAGACTGCTGGTCTGACAACAAAACAAACGGCTCCTTTAGGAGCCACTATATAGGAGAAAGTTCTGACCAACAAGACCACTATGATCTTTCCTTGGGAAAGTAATAAACTCGGACAGAAATTCCGATTTCCGGGAAAAGACTCTCCGTTATTTTTCTTTACGAAATCTTCCCTGACTGTCGCATAAACAGCTTGCCACGAGCTCGTGACTTCAACGGTACTACCAAGAATTCACTAAATGTTCATTTGTTGAAATTTCGGATCATGTGATCCTAGAATCTGTGTATGCCTCTTAATTGCCGCTAGGGCTTGTATCAAAGATTAAAACAACTGTATCAATGCCTAGCGCGATTTATTTTCAAGCAGAAAGTACTTGAATACTAAAGGCCTCTTGGAAGTTTGTCCCTAAAAGAGCAGTTTTCTTTTCTTTCTGTCACATGCATGGCTTTTGTTTCTCTTTCGAGTGAACTTTCTTCAGGGTGGAAGTATGGAAAACAAATGGGTTGTGATCTATGGCATTAGGCTCCACTGTATGACTACTAGTCAATACTATAAAGCACCTGTTGTGGGAAAGTAAAAGGCTCAAGCTGAACTGTTGAAGATTTGAAGCATGTCACCTGTATTCAACGAGTACAAGTTCTATAAAAGAAATAGAAAATATGTAACATGTATCGAGTTACAGAGATCACTGGAAGCTTGGGAGAACGAGAAATGCTGTGGGAAAACAAGCCAACAGGCAAGTGTTTCAACAGCATTTTTGAGTTTTCTCAAGGTTCCACAAGTTTTTCTATTAAACAATTAGATTATGAACTTGAGATTTCTATTGCTTGAGAAATAGAGTGAATAATCGAATTGTTTTAATATAAATCTACAAGTTGTTCAATTCCTCGTTACAGACACTTAGGGTGCTTTCCTTTGGGGTGATCTGGATCAGGATCAGTGATCCATGATCTGTCTGGATCATGGTGCATCAAAGGAACCGATGAATCCATGACCAGAGTGGATTCATCGGTTCTTTTGATGGACCTTGATCCAGACAGATATTGGATCACTGATCCTGATCCAGATCACCCTAAAGGAATGTACGCTTAGAAAATGCCAAAAAGTGGCTGTCATTTTGTTAACAAGGGTACACATTCCACGCTACTCATTATCACAGAACAGTGAGTAGCGTAGCCACTTGGAGAATGGCATTCGTGATATATTGCATGATAGCCGACTATAACACATGGAAATCTAAAGTGAATAATCTAATTGTTTAAGTAAAAATCTACTAGTTGTTCCAAACTTTCATCTAAATTCTTTTCAGACACTTCAAAAATGTTAAAAAGCGGTCCCCATTGCACGGTGCTAACCTACTCACTATCTACCACAGAATAGATAGTGATAGCGTAGCCAATCAGAAAATGGCATTTATGATATTTATACTAAAACTCTACAGAAACACAGTGGCAAGTTTTCTATTTCTTTTAGAAAATTCAACAACAAAAATAGGCAACTTGTTTACTTTGATAATAAAAACGTAAATTATCTTTGCTTACATCAGCATTACATCTCGACAGCTTGTGCCGATACCTTGAAACACAAAGAATCGGCTAACATTTTGATAACGAGCACACTGCAACGCTACTCACTATCTACAACAGGATAGTGAGTAACATAGCCAATCAGCGAATGGCATTCGTGACAAACCGCCAGTAGAGTAAAACAATTAGATCATTCGCTCTCAATTTCTATGCATGAAATATTTGATATTTCCAATACTTTAAGTTTTTGAGACTGAGCAGTCGCTCCTTTTCTATAGCTTGGTGAATGAGAAGTGAAAAAGGAGCAACAAAATTAATGGCCACATGAACTCACATTGTGCAGTTCCAAAAAATATCCATACCCACCCCAAGGAGGGTTTCTGGAAATTCCAAGGAGAAAGGGAGGTTGCAAAAGCCCAAAACTGGAATTTCCATGAGGAATGGGGGTGAGGAGGGAGGTCCAAACCAAAAAACCCTCCATGGGAGGTGTATTAATATTTTTTGAAAAAACAAAAAGAAAACATTTTGCTTCCCAACATTTGCCCAGGTTTTGTTCTTGCCTTTTTTGTTTCTTGAAGAACTGCTCATAGTCTACAAGTAATGACACAAGTTCCACACAGTTTTAATATATTTTTATTATCTTGTGAACAAAGTAAATTTTTGCAACAAAGTTTTCTTTTCCTAATAAAAAAAAAGTTGGGAGAACACTGGTTTCATTTTGTGCTAAACAAAGCCAGTCATCATTGTCCAAGGTACTTCTTGCTTCTAAGTAAGCTCTTGAAGCTTCAGCAATTCATATCCCTGAAAACAAACTTGTGAAGTACAAAATTGTTAGAGGTGTGATCTCATTCAATCAAACCAAAGGTGAAGTGTCATGAGCAGACTTGACACTACAGAAGATGTCTCGGACTAGGGCTGACTGTACAGGGGAATAGTCATCAGTCTGTTGGATGGTTTCACTGCCAATGTGACATGCACATTTACATTAATTTGAACACCTTCCAACTAGAATAACGTAACTTTCTTTTCAAGGATGCCTCTGTTAGACGAAGCTACCTTTATTTTATAGGACAGAACTTCCAAAGTTCCCCTTGTATTTTGAACATTAAATACTCCTGACACTTTCCCTTCAGCTCTGTAAATTCACATGTGATCAAAATTTAATTTCTACTTACAATATACAAAAACAATGTCAAGCAGACAGGCAACGAGAACAAAGAAAATCATCAACTAGAGAGAGACTACGGTCCTGATGCACCACTAAATTTCCAGAAATGACATTAAAGAAATGTACGCTATCAGTAAAATAGAATTTTCTTCATCTTGAACATTGAAGAAGGCCAATATAACTGACAAGGTTGTGTGGCTTAAAGGGAATCATAACTGGTAATGTTCTGTCTGGAAAATATTGGTCTGGTAAAAGCCTCTTGCACACAATGTGAATGTATCTACATGCACAGATCCACCCTGGTTTCCACCACTTTACAAAAATCAGTCAGATTTTTCAGAATGCCTCAGAAACACAGGAAAGGGGACTTTAGGGAGTTAAAATCCAAAACATTTCATAAGATAGCTTGGCCCTGGACCCCTCTAGAAGGCACCCGTTGTTTCGGAAATGAGTCGCCATCTCTCCTAGGTCCGCACCTGATCTATACATGTCTTTGGGCATTAAATAAATACATAACCCAAATACTCATACTCATAGCCAGGGTGTCTCTTCATTCTGCCCAAGAAGAGGACATCTTGACACTTTGACAAGTATTCCTGTCAAGCCTAGCCTGCTTGCCCACAATAATAAGTGTGTACAAGCTCTCTTGCCCCTCACTTACTTGACCTACAACAGTGGCCTCTATCACTCCAGTCAATCTTCAGTGAGAGCGAGATCGAGACTTCGATCTGGAACGGGAGCGGGACCTCTTGCTGAGGAAAGAATGTTGGACACAGAATGAAATCTGCTCTGGTTTCACATCTACAAGTCAAGTGAAGTCTAGAAACTACTTACAGGTAGATAGAACAGTCAAATCTGTCATATTTGCAAGTTTTATCTGAGTCCATACCTAATGTTTCCTTGCGACCAGCCATTTAAATACAAACTACATTCCTACATGTATCTGTTATTTCAGCAGATCAGAGATTTGAAGGTTATGAAATATGACAAGTTACTTCATGTCATGGTCATGTGTCAATTCAACAGGCAAACAATAAAAGGCCAGAAATGGTAAGCAGACACACCAAAGGGCAAGAAGAATGAACTTGACAATGACATGTGACAAAGTGTTCACTAATTCAAATCAACTATTTACTTCTTGGCTAACACTGAAAGAGAAAAAATTCATCCCATCATAGCATAAATACCAAACCTCTTCTCCCTTGGACTGGACCGTTTGGGAGATCTTGAGTGGGAACGTGACTTAGACCTCGATCTTGAACTGGTGCTCTTTGATCGAGACCTTGATTGACTGCGTGACCGCGAAGAACTGCTTCTAGACCTTGATGATGATGAAGATGAACTACTACTGCCACTGCGCCGTTTTTTCTTGCTTGGTGGGGAGCCAGATTTTGATCTTGACCGGCTGAAAAACAGGCAGTAGACACGCACTGATATCGCAGACTAAAATTGTCTGTGAAGAGGTTTTGTGCCCAGCATGCCCAAGACAGAAATTGTAGGAAATTCAATACAAATTCCACAAGTGCTTGAATTGACAAGCAGTTCCACAAAGGTCATTCTAAGTGTCTCTCACTGGGTATTGTTTGGTTCTAATCAGTTTCAGTGCTGGAAATAATTTTTATCATGCGTTCTTTCAAATCTTTATTTTAGCTTCACATGAAGTAATATGTATAGGGCAATTTTCAGAGCAGATTTTCTTTTTTGTTTTGTGCAAGTCTCAAGAGGTTGTTAAAGTGAAACAAACAAGGTATCCATAAGATTTGTGATATTTAACATTTCAAAGCAAGCATGGCCTAACAAACAGGATCTTCATGTCTACTAAAAGCTAAGTTATCCACTATAATGCAAAAGTAGCCTGCCAATTTTACAAATTTGCTTGACAATGTCTGATGACTAACTGTCATTTCAGTAGTGCATCTTATAATGCTTTGTATTGCATGTGTTCAGAGGACCCTGATGAGATGATAGATCTACATGTATTAATTGGTTTCCTTAAGTACTGTACACATTAGTAATGAAGGTATTAGTAAAACATAAATAAACATATTGATCAGTAAAAAGCATACATACTGTAGGATTAATCAAATTCCAAGCATACATTTCCAGGAAATTTCTGTAGTCTTAATTTTAATACTATCAGCGGGTGTACCATCAGAGAGATCTTTCATAGTTTTCTTTCAGGATGTAGTTTATTAGCAATACAACAGTCAAAAAGTGATGTTTTCATAATTAAACACTAAATGTTGGCAGAGTGCCTGGCCCCACCTGAAATAAGAAGGATTGGTGGGGCAGACAGGGGGGAGGAGTTTACCGGCCCTTATCCTTGGTTTCACCGTCTGAAGCGTCTAGGGCGTACTTAGATAAGTCGCCATCTTCATCTTCGTCTTCATCCTGTTATTGTAAAGAAAGATCGAAACAAGAATTAAAACTTAAAAATAAAAAAAATACATAAATAATATATTGGGGACCAGTGAATTTGAAAAAATGCTGCAGAGAAACCAGTGATTTACTAGCATTCCATCCTGTGATACTTTACAATTTAGTCTATCCCTACTAAAGAAATCTCTGAAGACGTGGAGCAATTCAATCAGAAAGCATGTTTTCTGGAAAACTGCTCCATAATTTAAAGGATTGCTTTCCCTAGTGAACTTTTTTTTAACAATTGATAACAAACGTGCAATATTCACAAATTATGCAAAGTATACCTCAAAGTTTTATAGGGTATGAAAACCACCAAAATGGATGGCAAAAGAATGCGAGAGCCTCCAATACAAAGTGACTTCAAACAGTCAAGGAGCTTGACTTCCTTTGTTTTGATGTCCTAGAGTATAGCTTGCAATGCCACTCAGATTGGTACAATTTATATGAAGCCATGTGGCTATTTGTTGCAAAAGGCCTATGTTATCTGGAAATGATAATTGCAATTTTCCAGTACCTCATCATCCAAGTTATATTTTGACAGGTCACCTCCTTCTTCATCATCGTCATCATCTTCCTCTTCCTCGTCACTGTAAGGTACTTCTTTTGGTGGTTTCTGTTGAAATAAAAAATTAATCAAAATAGTGATGATACAGACTCTTGTTTTCCATTAAAGAGCACTGATTTTTGTACCTGTTCGGTAACTGATTGACGAACTCCTTGTTTAGGTTTCTTCCTTCTTCCAAACTGTCACAAAAAGATGAAGAATGAACATTTAGTTGCAGAAGGTAATGAGCAAAGCTTTATTTAGCTAGCAGTTAAATGTATGATAAAGATGAAATGTTGCCACAAGCAAGGGAAAAAAAACGTTGAGTCCCTGACCAGATTCGAACCCATGACCTCCCAGATACCGGTCGGGCACTCTAACCACCGAGCTACAGGGAGAATCTTGATGAGCTAGGTCATTTTACTAGGTTCATATGTGACATGTGTCCTGTTAAATGTATCTTACTGTCTATTACTAGTCATTTTTGCAAAATGAACTGATGATTGCACCCGTATACATGTATTATCAAGTACCTCATCAAACTCATCATCAGAATCTTCTCTGTGAATGTATTCTACTCCTTCGCGTTCATTGTATCCTCCACCATATCCTGAACATCCATAATAAAAAAGAGAAAAATTTCCACTTAATTTCCTAATGCTTCTTGTTGAAATGCTTCACATCTGAAGCTATGAAACCTTTTATCAAGTACTAAATCAAACAACAGACAGTATTTTATTGATTATATCCAACTGAGGCTGAACTGATGCAGACAACTGAGTCTGCCAGAGAACCAGGGTACAAGCCCTACCTCTCATGAGAGTGAGAGTTCAGAGTGTGTTGAAAAAAGAATACACTGGTTTGTTAAGAAACATGTTTTACTGTCAAGAACAGAATTTACTTTTCATCTTGAAAGTAAACATGTTAACTTTAAATGACATATTATTCATGTTTCAATGTTTCATTTTTTGGAAGTAAATTTTCTTTACAATCTTATATGTTTTCTCATTTCAGTGGTTGTCTCCACAAAATCAAGTTAACTTCACCTGAAGTTAGACAGAATTCTATCATATATAATACAAGTCACCTGTTCTGAATTCAACTTTGGAGAATTTAGGATGTCCGCACATGTTACAGTCACTCCTTCGAGCCCAGTTTACATTGCCGCATCTACAAGCAAAACAGTCAGAAAGAGAGGTTATTACACGGTGGCGAGAAGATATGAATTTTATGCTTGAGTGGCAAGAACAATATCTTATGGGTGAGTCACTGCAGCGAACGAGTGAGATATTGTTTTTGCCACAACAGAGTATCTTTTTATTACATAGACATACTGAAGACGGCATTTTTTAGACTTTCTGAAGATTTCCGCCCACTTCTGAAGATTTCTGAAAATTTTCCAAAACTTGTCCAAAGCGTGCGTTTTAAGGTCACATGAACGTCGCCAAACATTTTCAGAAATTTCTGAAGATTACCGAAGATTGCTGAAGACTTTTGGGGAAGACCCAAAGATGTTTTGATCATACACCAACGAATTTAAGTACAATAAAAGAGGCAAACTTGATATCAGTGAAATCACCGATATCTTCACTAGTGAGGATATGGAAAATACACCACCCGAGTCCCGGTTGTGTTTTCGTATGAATTTTACGAGTGATGTATTTTCCAGTAAAACACTCTAGTCTATATAATAAATGTCTTGTATCTCACGACTTCGTGCATCTATTGCGCAGTTCCAGAAAATATCGGTCCATACTCCCATAAAATTTTATATAAGCAACAGAGGACTTTTTTTCGTGTTTACATAGCCTCATCTAAACACTTGGGGGATTGGAGGAATTCTTGAAAGTTATGCAAACCCTTGACTATGTCTCAGGTTTGCACAACTGTCGCGAATGTTCTCCCAGCCCACCTCGTGTTCAGATGAGGCTATGCAAACAGGGAAAAAGTCCTCTATTGCTTAAATCTTACTTTGTATGCAAATACGATACATCCATCTAAAACTACACAGTGATGGAAATCCAACTCAGTGGAATGACTATAAATCATTTCACCTCTGAAACATGGCCAGTCCTACCATTTTACCAGATAATCAATGCACTACTTAAATTCAATATAGAGCACTCAGAATAATATCTACACACTTTGAACACATCCAGTCTTCAGCACTAAACAACCCTTTGCTCTTTGCTGCAGCGTGCTTTCCAATTTCAGAACCAGTAAGCTTGACTGAATCAATATTTCCTTTCTCTGTTAGAAAAAAAAAAACATAATAGCAAACAAATTCATATCCTTCCTTTACAGTCCAGTTTGTTGTTTACGGTGGGAGGTGTGGTGGCCTCATGGTTAGTGCGCTCGTCTCCGGATCAAGTGGTCCGGGTTCGAGCCCTGGCCAGGGACATTGTGTTGTGTTCTTGGGCAAGACACTTTACTCTCACAGTGCCTCTCTCCACCCAGGTGTATAAATGGTTACCGTCGAACTTAATGCTGGGGGTAACCCTTTGATGGACTAGCATCCCATCCAGGGGGGAGTAGAAATACTCCTATTTGCTTCATGCTACAGAAACCGGGATAAGCTCCGGCCTGATGGGCCACTTGACTCATACGCAGACTTTACCTTACCTTGTTGTTTACCACAAGGTACCTACGACACAGTTGAACCTTGGTTAATAGGTCACTCATATATGCAGACACTTCATTTTCCCAACAATAGTTACACTACAATTTAGCTGTTCAAACATGGAGACCTTTCCAAACCCATTTGAACACTTTCTCTGTTCTCAAGGAGAATACAAGTGGGAAAAATAGAAATGACAAGACCCAAAAAGCCAAAATTATACAAGACGCGAATTGTTTGAACCCTCAGATTGCTAGTCAGGCCAACTAAACAGCAGCACAGACTAGAAGGGGTACATTACATTAATGGATTGCACGACTTATTGGTTTACAGATTTCCCCGACCCTTGGCAGTTAATCAATTAAACATGCATGCAGCCATTTGATCCCAAAATACGATTAAGGGTCAAACTAAAAATAGGCCAACTAAAATCACAAAACACAAATAACAGACCAGAGTATCAAATTCACATAAAAGAAATACGCAAGATAACGCCAGGTTTCAAATTGCTCCTTCAATCAAACTGTATAAAGTGTTAAGCTTATTTGCTTCACCTCTGTGTGAAATTAAACCACGCAAACTAACTACAAACACATATCTAATCTAAGACTTCCTCTATTGATTCCAGCACATAACAGCGACAATTCAGTTTTAGAATTTTACGTTTGAACACGTTCTATCACCATTTGATTGTTCCGTCAAATTGTTTAGTTTCATTCGTTTCAACAAAACGTGGCACAACAAGTACCAACCTTTGCCACACCGATTGCATGAAGTACGCCTTGCAAAATTGACATTCCCGCATCTGAAAAGAACCAGAAATAAGACAATACAAAAGAATGATGATCATAGAACCCCTTCACATGGCAAATACCTTTTATCGGAGCAAACCCAGTCTCCATTAGACACTTTGAGTTTCGAAGACATGTTCAGTGTTTTTGAAAGCCTCGTCCTTCGTGTGAAGTCTTGCAAATCAGAAAGAGGAAGACTGGGGACGTGTTGGTTCCAGACCTCGTTATGTCTGGGCGTCTCCAAAATAGAACCAAAATGGCGCGGGTTGAGCAACAATGTGCGACGGATGGTTCCACGAGTACACCCTATTTGCAGCTGTCTTACTTCACGATTTATCTCACACAGGGAATAGAGATCCTAGAATATTATACGAAGGTAAGTTGGTGATTGTAATGCGTTTTTAGGCTCTGATAGCCGTAATTTTTAAAAAAAAATATGCTGATAATCTTATGACATAAGATATAAACTCACTGTACATGTATAATGCATGCTATTAAGCATTTACGGTTTTCGTCTTCACTTGTATAGGTGCCCTTCTATCATGTTCTGTTTGAGGCTGTCTTGGTTCTTTGGATAATAAGGCTGATTACCAGCAAGACGTTCAGATTCAGAGAACAGAAGATAGAACTAACAGAGAAGGTTTGTTTTGATTTTGAACATAGGGAATGAAGCAGTGCCCTGTAGCATTGTCAGATAAACAAGCTATAGGTTTCCTGGGAAAATGAATTCCATTCAAATAGGGAGTTCAATAACTCAGTTTATGTAGCTTGAGTCCGTCAGTCCCCTGACAGATGAGGGCGCAACATAGCTTTGGCAGGATGCGGGATGGGAGTAAAAATGAAGGAACGATACGGGATGATGGAATTTGTAGTAGTGGGATGCAGGATAAAAATATTTTGGCGGGAACAGGATTTGCTCATTTTGGCAGATGGAGTGCGGGATAGTGTTAAAATTGATGGCAGGATGCAGGATGAAAAATGGAAAATCACTCCTTCACAGACATTACTTGGAGAACTCCGACTCTTACCAGGCGGGTTGGGCATAAACATTCTGAGTGGTGCAGGATGGTGGGATTGAGCCAAAAATAGTGGTGGGATGTGAGATTGAAAAAGCCTATGTTGAACCCTCATGGGTGGGGTAGGGGGTGGTAGTCCTTGAATTTTTTGGCTGCTTGCGGTGCTATCGAGTCTCCTTATCTTGATCCATTTTCAGACCAATATTATTCATCTTCATTAGTGATAGCCAATAGCTATTGCCTCATCTCAGGTGTTTGATAGCAAAATGTAAGACATCTTTTGTGAGGGGTGCACATCCAAGGGTGTGATAAATTTTTTCACTTTTATGGAAATGTTGAGAAGTTACTGGATACTACTTACTTTGCCCACAAGTCAATTCAAAGTGTACAGCAATTTTACCAGCACCAAAGCTGACAAAATGTTACCCAAAATGATCAATCAAATAAGTAAGCATTTACCTGGCAATCAGTTTGTAACCCTAAAATATACTGGAGATATACTCTATTCTCAGCTCCTTCCTGATTTGAGGGTACATCTGGGTATAAGAGGTGTGACTGCTGTAAGGTTTTAACAAAGCTCACAACTAATCCCTAGATTAAAAGAGCCAAGAAGCCTAAAAAATGCAACATCTGCATGCTGTTTATACTATAATATTAGGCATGGACCTAGAGTCTAATATTATGTTAGACATGATATTAAACCATCACACTCCCACAAAGTTTTGCTCTCTTGATGTTTCAGGAAGAGGAAGAATTAATTGAGGAATGGCAACCAGAACCATTGGTTCCAGCGACGCCAACATACGATCTAGATGCCATTACTCCAAATGTGGTACAAGGGTAGGCATCAAAATATACTGCTAAGTGCTATGAAAATATCTATTGTTGAGTTTATTATGCTCAATTTTATTAATGTATCAGTAAATTTGAGTACTGTGGTTACTGTGGTATAAGATTCTTCATTTGTGATTCCATCGTTTTCTCTAAAATGACTGGTAAATTACTCCCTTATATTTATTCTACTAGGAAACCAGGACATACATTGAACATAGATGACAAAGAGTGTCTGAATTTTGCAACATTCAACTTTCTTGGTTTTGTCGGAAATGAGAAAATAGAGGTATTAAATTTTCTTTTTCAACTTTTTATCACTTTTTTTCTGGCACTGACTGAAGTACATGTGCATTATTTTCAGTATCCAGCTTTTGTTGCAAAGAATTTCTTAGTTGTTCTTGTATATGTTGTAGTTTAAAATGATTTCAAACTTGTTTGATTTGTTTTTGTCTTTGTCTTGGAATAATTATAGTAAATCTGGAACAAAGGAAAATGAAATTAAACATTCAAAATGATCTTGACACAAAGTTAATTTTGAACTATAATATATATTTTTTTCTAATTTTTGCTAATTAAATAAATCAAACACGTGACAACCATCAAATAATTATTTGTGAAAGGAAGTTTATTTCCAGTACATGAAACCGTAAACAAAACTAGATAAAGCACCACATGGTAAAACCGGGAATAAAACTTCAGCCCACATAGGGTGGGAGGGAAAGGGAAAATTATTATTACTTGACTGTATAACAAAACTGAAAAGAACATGCCACGTCTTCACATACACTACACAATATATCTCGCATCTGCAACTATTATACAATAGGAAATCTAGCTCCAATTAATTATTATTTTTAAGCTGGGCTAAAGATACGTTATTTAATAATATTATTTTTCTAGGATGCAGCCATCAAAAGCCTTCATCGTTATGGTGTAGGTTCATGTGGGCCCCGTGGTTTTTATGGTACAATTGGTAAGTAATTAACTCTTTTATTCATGGATCTCCTGGGCAATTCTTCCATGTTTGTCTCAAACCCTCATTTTCTGTTAATTTTGCAAAATAATTGAATTTGATAGTCAAATTAAGGGTTACATGTTTTATAAATTTGCAGCAAACTAGTAATACTTGATTTGAAAAGAACTTTTTGGTGGTTAGGTTTCAAATGAACACCCTTGTTATCACTTGAATCAAGTAAAATGTGGCCGTAATTTTGAAATATCAGTTCCCCATACTGATTGGCATACATTCGTGTTTCATGTTAGTTATGAGAATTTGGTAGTCATTGATGACAGAATTTAGTGCTGGGTAATTTTCGTAATATTTCTCATTGTAATACTTGTTGGCTTGATAATGTTGTTGAATGTTTATAGTCAGAGCTTCAGAGATGTAGGAAAAACGTCTTCAGGACAACAGAAAGAATCAAGTGCCCATCATGAAGGGAATTTCTTACTCTTGAAAGGCTTTGAAATAATTAGGACATGTTTTGTTATGCATTTGCAGATGTTCATTTAGAGTTAGAAGAGAGACTGGCTAAATTCATGAGGACTGAAGAGGCTATTCTTTATTCTTATGGGTTTTCTACAATAGCAAGTGTAATTCCTGCTTATTCCAAGAGAGGGGATGTCATTTTTTGGTGAGATAATCTAACAGTTCGTAATGTTATTTTTTGACAGCCTATTTCTGCTTAGAGCTCATAAGATTTCAGATGGGGTCATTTTATATGATGATTCTGATAATACCATTAGTAAATCAGGGAGGATATCCATGGATTATTAATTAAGGCATCATTTATTTTTCTTTATTACTTTCTCATTTTCTTCTCCTAGTGATAAGGGAGTTTCTTTTGCGATTCAAAAAGGACTTGTTGCTTCAAGAAGTCGTATAATGTGGTTTGAACACAATGACATGGATGACCTGGAAAGGCTTTTGCATGAACAAAAAGAGAAAGATGAAAAGGTAAATGTAAAACTAATAGATTTATGTATTTTCAACTCCTTGTTTTCTTCCCTGTTTCCTCATCTGCTTGCTGCCTTGCTTGCTTACTTCTTTGAGTGTAGACCAAAGGGATCATGTGTACTAAAGGTATCGGTGGTCAGGTGTCAATCGATACCCTTGATCAATACCCTTGATCGACCCTCAATTGATACTACATTGACATTTAGGTTGACACTCGATTGACACTTGGTCAACATCTTGGTCAACAGTCAGTCAACAGTCAACTAATTTTCAATCTATGCATATGAGTTGGTAGACACTCAGCTGACTATTGACTGACTGTTGATCAAGTAATAATAATAATAATAATATAATGAAAACAATCTTTAAAGAGGAAGCGCCCGTCACGTAAATACGTGGTTACGTCATGTAAATATGTAAATAAGTGTTGATTGAGTGTTGACCAAGTATCGATTCGGATGGCAATCAAGGGTATTGATCAATGGTATCAATCAATACTCAACTGCTGATGTCTTTAGTACACATGATCTGACCAAAGTGTTAAACAACTTGCTAAACTTTTGATTCCTTTTTTTCCAATCTCAGAATCCCAAGAAAGCTAGTGTGACTAGAAGATTTTTAGTTTTAGAAGGAATTTATGTTAATTATGGTGACATTGCACCACTTCCAAAAATAGTAAGTGAAGTAATAAATAATAAAACTTATTTCATCATCTTTAATTTGCAAGTGATAGGCTGTACCTAACTAAGATTTTCTTTTAAGATTGAACTGAAGTACAATTACAAAGTTCGACTCATCATTGATGAAAGTGCATCATTTGGAGTTCTCGGACAAACTGGAAGAGGAATAACAGAACACTTTGACATCCCAGTAAGTTTATTACTTTGATACCCTCCAATGGTCAATTGCCAGCTGCAGTTCAGAAAAGAAGCTCCCACTCCTCTCCAGCTGTCTTTTCTCAGGAAGGACTTGAGTGAGCAGCAGAAATCCTCTCTCTCTGGCTGTCAAAACTCATTTTTAGTGTCCAATTCCAAGGCATTGCATTTTTAATAAAAGTAATTTTGTCATCTGTAGTTCAAGACTTTTTTTGACTAATGCTTAAAGCTTAGATTTTTCAAAAATCAAAACAAACTTTTCTGCTCACCAGATAAAGGAAGTCGACGTGATATCTGTTTCCATGGAGAACTCCTTAGCAACTATTGGTGGATTCTGTTGTGGGACATCATTTGTTGTTGACCACCAGGTTTGTCATGATATAATTTGTAAAATTTCATTTATTCACCAGTCAGCCAGTGCTTTGTTCACATCAGCTTTTGTTATCATATAAGTGTGCTATTAATTTTGTTTGAGGTATTTAATGCCAACTTGTTACACGGCCTAGCATATGGTAAATAGATGAACAAACCTGTGAGCCAGGCCAAGATAGTTAAAGTAGCCAAGTATGTACTCACTTTGAACTTAATATCATTCCAGTCTTTGGTGTAGCCTCAGATTTTTCACAATTTTGAGACTGAAAAGTTTTATGGGGAGAACTGCTGACAGTGCTGTTTGACTGTAAAGTTAACTGAAAACTCTGTGTCTCATCTACGACAAATTACCGTCTCGTATTATTTGTTTGTGTGTTTCTTGCAGAGACTCTCCGGTGCAGGGTACTGTTTTTCAGCATCACTGCCTCCCATGTTAGCTTCAGCAGCAATTGAAGGATTAAATATCATTGAACAGAAACCAGGTTTGCAATTTCAAAATTAAATGTTTTATGATGTGTAAGTTACTGACTTACTATATCTTTAAGCAGTGTGATCTAACTTAACCCTTTTTTGACTTTTACATTCAGAAATGTTTGAGGAACTGAAAGAGAAGACAAAACTGTTATATGCAGAACTTGAAGGGTATGTAATATATCATAACCTTACCATAAAAGCAGGAGCAGGTTGCTGGGGTGTATCCAGGATTTGGTGAAAGGGAGTTTGGAGATCAGGGAGTTAAGGGATCAGGGAGCTCCCCCCGAGGAGTTTGGAATACTTGATTTCCTGCTTTTTGAGGGATGAGTTTTGGCTGTTTTATTTACTGCTGTCTTTTGGACTTGACTCTTAAGGACTTCAAATTAAACTTTGACCTCTTTGAGAAAAGGAGTTTTCTTTAGGTTTTTGATGCACCTCTGGAATTCTAAATCTTAGTGAATGAGTACACAACTCACCGATGAGCTGATTGTCAAAGAGCTTCCTGGCCTTAGGCTATGGTGCCTCAGATTTTCAGGAAGTTTGGGGCTGAAAAGTTTTGTGGGAAGAATTGCTCACAGTGCTGTTTAATTGTAAAGTTAATTGAAAAACTCACTTTAGCGCCATATGGAATTTGACAGGAGCTTGGATAACGTTTTTATAACCAAAATAAAAGAGGAAGTACTAAAATCCCTGGATCTGCCCCAGGGTCTCTAGTCTGGAAATTTAGTGATGAAAATCAATAATGAAAACTCAAATGTGACATTCTTGCACTTGCCTATTCGCAATACTTGTGCACTTGTAATGAAAAAGAGTCAATTAAATGTTGTTCTTCTAATATTCAGACTCAAAGGACTTTTGTGCGAAGGATCAGAGGATTCTCCAATTCTACACTTAAGGCTTCTTGAACCTTATGAAACATTTGAGGAGGATGAAGAGAAATTAAAGCAAGTTGTTGCCAATGTGAGTTCTGTCTGTTTTTATCACCAAATCAAGGAGGAAGGTTTATACAGTTTTTGAAGTAATATATCAAACACAAAAGACCGTGTTTAGCCATGTTTCCAAACACTGAGAACAGAGTTGAAAATATGATGCATAGCAGAGTGTTTTTTTTACAAACTTCAAGGTCTTTGGAAATAGTCAAACACGGTCTTGAATGTTTGATACATCTTCTCAATCAAAACTGAAACTGAGGTGAAGTTAGAGAAATAGAATTGAAAAAACCTATGCTAATTATGATCAGATGTCCAGAAACTGTCAGGCCCATGGTCTCCTTTGTTTGAACTTGATGAATTATTAACAAGTTTGAGAATAATTTTGAACTGATCATGTTATTAGAAATGTTGGTATCATTGACACCAACATTTCTAATTAAATGATCAGTTGCAGTTGTTTTTTTGTGTTACTGTTAGGTAGCCCTGAAAAACTACCTCCTTGCTGATGATATTTTATTTCTCTCTCTTTTTTTTAATTTTAGGCTTTGGGGAATGGTGTTGCCCTTACAGTTGCAAGATATCTCAAACATGAGGAAAAGTTTCTACCACCCCCAAGGTAAAGTTCCAAGAATCAAATTGGGATCAGTCTCATTTGATAGCCTGGGGCTAGTGGGTTTTGCAGTCGTTCTGACTAGTAAATACTATTCTTTGCTTGCCTGATGGGCAACTTAAGTAAAGGTCTTTGGGAAGGTTTTCGTAAAAATTCAAATTACAGATACTGAAGTAGTGTCAGTAAGAGATGAAATTATTGTTTAATGATTTGGTTTTATTCTAAATTAGTTAATCATGCTAGAAAGAGATTTTGGGAGGACTAGTGAGAGAGGCAGTGTGAGAGAGAGCATACATCTATCTCACCAAAAACACGAGAGAATTTCCCTGCCAAGGACTTCAACCTTAAATCTCAGTGCTTTGGAGTCCAGTGAATAGCCTGCATAGCTGAACGACAAAGCTTACCAAAACTGCCAGCTGCTCAGTCTATCCAGTGAATTAACCAGTGGCATCTACCTGCGGTGGCCTTATGTTAAGTGTGCTCAATTTCGGATCTTTCATCTAGCGGTCCACCTTCAAGCCTTGTCTGGCAGGGAGACATTGTGTTGTATTCTTGGGCAAGACACTTTACTCTCACAGTACCTCTCTCCACCCAGGTGTATAATTGGATACTGGCAAACGTAATGCTTGGGGTAACCCTGTGATGGACTAGAATCCCATCCAGGGGGAAGTAGAAATACTCCTATTTGCTTCATGCTACAGAAACCGGGATAACCTCCAGCTTGATGGGCCATTTGGTTCATATGAAGACTTAATGTCAATTACCTTTCGTGTGGCTCTCACGTAATTTACAGAAAATTAATTTTCTATTGTTAACCACAGTTTCTGATTTGTCTTCCAGCATCAGAGTGACACTGAATGTTCAACTGACAGGGGAAGAAATCAAACGTGGAGCACAAGTCATCAAGCAAGCAGCAGAGAGCGTATTTGGCTAATAACACAACAAGGGCAAAAAAACTTGATGTCTGTCACATCAGCACAGTTGTTATCGTGAATTAAGGTGTACTCAGCTGTACAGCTCGATCGATATCTAAATTCTCAACAATACATCAAATTATGTTTAATCATAAAAACTTTTCTGAGAATGGACCTCTTTACGGTTAATTTCTCTTGTTTTTAATGTGGAGGAGTAAACACTTTAGGTAGAAACTACAAAATTGCCCAAAAATGCCTCAAATTCACATGCGATTATCTTATGATATAAAATAAGAAAAAATAATCTAGGAAAAGGGATGTTTAGGAAATTTTCAGTCAAAAAAGGGTACATTTCATATCTTGCTATTTAAACAACTAATGCTGCACGAGATGTGTAGAAACCAGAAAATATAAGACGTTTGAAAGCAATACAAGTTGCTCTTTATACTGCAGCTTTTAATGCTATTATTAATAGAATGTTGTGGTGCTGAGATTGGAGTTTTGCTCTACTGTATAGTATTCTATGATTTTTTTTAACTCAGTTGCCCTTGTCATAGACCTCTTCATTATCAGATAGTTTGATAAAATATTTATCAATACTATTCAGAGAAAAAAAAGTCAGTGGTCACCATAGTGGCAGTCACTGTTTGAATTGCTGGGAGTGTATTTTTATTACTATGTTAAGCAAACCTTTTGTTCACCATATTTGTGAGTGTTGGTCATTGGGGAAACAGTGACTTGGAGCCTTGTATAATTTTCTATTTTAATCTAAATGGTGTATAGGGTGGCCGTGAATATAACTGTCTTCTTACTCTCAGCCAGAAATAGAAGCGATGCGATGCCCGGCAGAGGCGAATCTAGGGGGAGGGTGCGAGGGGTGCACACCCCCCTGAGATGAAGCCTTCTTTTTCTATTCGCTTTCAAAATTTGTTTACCTCACCAGTCTTTTACGCCATTCCTTAGTGATGCACCCCCTCCTAAGAAAAATCCTGGATCCTCCCCTGCCCGAGGTAGGTTGTCCTTACGGGCTTAGAGTTTCCATCAGTTAATTAATGAATTTACCGAAGAATCTTTGCATGTTAATATCTCAGTTTATTCTTATTTTTTTGAAGCACTTAAAAGTTCTTCATCGTCATCAATATGTGTGGTGTGATCACGATTTAGTGACAGTCGTAGGTGGTTGATTACTGACAAGTATAAATGTTACATGTTCATCATCTGTACCGAATGCCGGTCGTTTCGCCAACGTGTCACTTCGCCAACGACCAGATCGCCAACGTATGAAGTCGTTTCGCCAGCGTCTAATGTCAGTTCGCCAACGCTTATATTTCAGTTCGCTAACGTCCAAATAACGTGTTTGGTTGAAAATAATTGTCAAATAGATAACTTGCAATTCACTTTTTGAGAGGGATTGTTGATGTTACATCGATAGATCAACGGACTTTGTTACACTTTGTTGCAATGTGCGTGAAACCCGGGGGGGGGGGGTACGCCCAGAACAATCGGATAAGGGTGTGCGGCCCGCTTCCCAAAACCCTTACCCTATTTATGACCAAAATCTGGGATGTTCCCTATCCTATTTATGACCTGACCAAAATTTCGAAACCCTATTTATGACCTAACCCTTAAATCAAAACCCTGTTTCAGACCTGCGTTCTAATTAGTTCCCTAGTTCAGACCAATGTTAAATTACCATAAACATAATTTGTGAAGGGCTTTCGTTGATTTTTTCGATAATGATGAAGTGGCTTCTACTTAAAAACATACCTATATCAAGGCTAGGGTGCAAAAACCATGCCCTATTCATGACCAAAATGGCCAAAATCAGCTAAAAATCAATACCCCATTTACATGTATGACCAAAACAGCTGAAAAACCATACCCTTCGGGCCGCACATACCTTTATAGCCCATATAAGGAAGTACCCCCCGGAGGGCGTGAAACAAGCTAATGCAATGAACAAGCAACAAGCTTCTACGCGCGTAATCAAACATATATTTAGACTCAATGGCTCTTTAACTACGCAAATGTTTAACAAAAAGATTTTATAGGCGGTTCGTACCCCTACAAATAAAAGCTGTGGATGGTTTATGTAATATATCAAACACGAGAGACAGTGTTTCATCGGGATATCCAAACACCGAGAAGAGAGTTGAAAATACGACGCGCAGCGGAGTATTTTTGACGAAATTCGAGGTGTTTGGATAGCCGATGAAACACTGCCTCGAGTGTTTGATATATCTTCTCAATCGAAACTAAAACTAAGGAGTAAACAGAGAAGTAAAGTCGTCAAAATCTATGCTAATTAAGACCGGGTATCCAAACATCCTTCACGGTTGTGATTTTCTTTGTTTTAACTTGATGAATTATTAATGAGTTTGAGAAAAAGTTTTCAAATACGATCGGCCATCGATCAACCAGCGTAGAAGGGGGCGTAGGGATTTTCGCTTTTGCGGATTTGGCCAATTTTTTGCTCGGTTTCTCGGTTTTCGCACTTAAAAACCGCGGTTTTTCGGTTCTCGTGTCTTGTGGGGTTTGCGGGTTTTCTCCAATTTAGTTTTTGGTTCTCGGTTTTTGTCAACAATGATGGCGGTTTTTCGGATTTTTCTGCCCAATGCATTTTACGGTTTTTCTGGTTTTGCCAAGGAAGTTACACCCCGCAATCGCGCTAAAACTGTAATTCCAAGGTACCACTTGTAGTTAGAGGAATGCTGAAAATCTAAAATGGGGCTGCCATTGTGCCCAAACAAATGAAAATTCTGACAATGGCAATCCATCAAAAGTAACTTCAGAATGTGGTGTTTCTTTTACAGGGTGGGGGGGGGNTATCGAAACGTAATATTGAACATAGATTTCGAAGAGGGGGGGTGAATACGTTTTCGGATCGACGGATTTGGCCTTAAAATGCACACGGATTGTGAATTTTTGCGGTAAATCGAGCGGATTAGCGGATTTTGAAAACACAGTGGATCGTGGATCAGCTGTGAATTTTGGCGCGGATTCCGGATTGTGACCGTCTTGATGTTCGGATCTTGGGTCCTATAAAACGAAATTTGGATCATAGATCTTTCTTCAGCCTTGGCCAGTATGTTAATGAGTTCTTCCAAATTATTTCTTTTTTCGGACGAAGCTCATTTAAACTCGGGTGTGAGACTGTTATTGGAATTGTACTGTGTTATAGTCATCAAGCATGTTGCCTTCTTTACTATTTGTGCAAAATTAACAATGGCATTCACATTTACCAGTTTACCTTTGAACTTTTACACTTCTGTTTCCGGATGTTGTTGTGGTTTCGGATTTGAACAAAAATATAAGCGGATCAACGGATTTGGCGAAAAATAGGTATGGTTCTTCGGATTTCCATACCCCTATTCACCCCTCACTTTACACAAAAGTCACCTAAAATCACTCTATCGTGCAATTTGTTGCGACAGGTCTATGGAGCCGATTTACACAGAAAAGGCGCTTTTAAAGACTACGATGTGTATTGTACTAACGAGGGAATACGCAGAAAGAACTTCGAAAAGTAAAACAAGTTTAGACTTTAAAGAAACTCGAGAAGACCTTGTCCATGCTGGCCGAAATGTACCTTGCTAAGACACTGGAAAGAAGCAGAGACCGGGCTGCGCAAACTTTGATTTTTACCTACTTAGACTTCATTTTTAAGAGCTAGGGCGATATTTCCGAGTCCCAGAAAATTGAAAATAACTCGAGAAGACCTTGTCCTTCAGTGAAATCGACCAGGGAAAACTAATCGCAAGCTTGGTTATGTGCATACTGGCCGAAATATAGCTTACTCAGACATTGGAAAGAAGTAGAGACCGGGCTGCGCAAACTTTGATTTTGGCCTACTTAGACTTGATATCTAAGAGCTTGGGCGATATTTCCGAGTCCAAGGGACTTGAAACTAACTCGAGAAGCCCTTGTCTTTCAGTGAAATCGACCAGGGAAAAATAATCGCAAGCTTAGTTATGTGCATGCTGGCCTAAATATAGCTTACTCAGACACTGGAAAGAAGCAGAGACCGGGCTGCGCGGGGTACACGCAGCGTGATTTTGACCAACTTTGGGTCGATTTCCAAAGACTTTGCTTGTTAGTGAAATGGACAGAGGAAAATTTTTTGAACGCTTCCTTATAAGCAGTCTAGCCGAAATATAGCCCCTGTTTAACTCACTTGGTGACTACTGAAGATAGCCGAGACCGGTCAACGCGCAGCGTGATTTCGACCAACTTTGGGTCGATTTCCAGGAACTTGGGCGATATTTCCGAGTCCCAGAGACTCTAAACTAATTCAAGACGACTTACTAAGTCTTACTAAGACTTACTTACTTCTGTCCATTTCACTGAAAGCCTTAGGCTTTCAGTGAAATGGACAGAAGAAAAATTTTTGAACGCTTGGTTATGAGCAATCTGGTCAAAATATAGTCCTCGTTTAACTCACTTAGTCACTAGAAAGTCGCCGAGACCGGGCTACGCGCAGCGTGATTTTGACCAACTTTGGGTCGATTTCCAGAAACTTGGGCGATATTTCTCAGCCGTACGGACTCTGAACTAATTCGAAAAGATTTGTTTTTTAGTGAAATGGACAGAGAAAAATTTTTGAACGCTTATTTTTACTTATGAGCAGTCTGGCCGAAATATTAACTCACTTAGTGACTAGAAAGTCGCCGAGACCGGGCTACGCGAAGCGTGATTTTGACAAACTTTGGGTCGATTTCCAGAAACTTGGGCGATATTTCACAGCCCCAGGGACTCTAAACTAATTCGAGAAGACCTTGGTTTTCAGTGAAATGGACGCAGGAAAATTTTTTGAACGCTTACTTATGAGCAGTCTGGCCGAAATATTAACTCACTTGGTGACTAGAAAGTCGAGCTACGCGCAGCGTGATTTTGACCAACTTTAGGTCGATTTCCAGGAACTTGGGCGATATTTCCCAGCCCTAGGGACTCTAGACTAATTCGAGAAGACTTTGGTTTTCAGTGAAATGGACAGAGAAAACATTTTTGAACGGTTACTTATGAGCAGTCTGGCCGAAATATAGCCCCTGTTTAACTCACTTAGTGACTAGAAAGTCACCTAGACCGGGCCACGCGCAGCGTGATTTTGACCAACTTTGGGTCGATTTCCAGGAACTTGGACGATATTTCCCAGCCCTAGGGACTAGACTAATTCGAGAAGACTTTGTTTTTCAGTGAAATGGACAGAGGAAAAATTTTTGAACGCTTACTTATGAGCAGTCTGGTTGAAATATAGCCCCTGTTTAACTGACTTAGTGACTAGAAAGTCACCTAGACCGGGCTACGCGCAGCGTGATTTTGACCAACTTTGGGTCGATTTCGAGAAACTTGGGCGATATTTCCCAGCCCTAGGGACTCTGAACTAATTCAAGAAGACTTTGGTTTTCACTGAGTGAAATGGTCAGAGGAAAAATTTTTGAACGCTTACTTAGAGCAGTCTGGCCGAAATATTAGTTCACTTAGTCATTCTAGAAAGTCGGCGAGACCGGGCTAGGCGCAGCGTGATTTTGACCAACTTGAAGTCGATTTCCAGGAACTTGGGAGATATTTCCCAGCCCTAGGGACTCTAAACTAATTCGAGAAGACTTTGGTTTTCAGTGAAATGGAGAGAGGAAAAATCTTTATGAGGTTACTTATGAGCAGTCTGGCCGAAATATAGGCCCTGGTTAACACACTTGGTGACTAGAAAGTCGCCGAGATCGGGCTACGCGCAGCGTGATTTTGACAAACTTTGAGTCGATTTCCATAAACTTGGGCGATATTTCCCAGTCTTAGGGACTTTAAACTAATTCGAGAAGACTTTGGTTTTCAGTGAAATGGGTAGAGGAAAAATTTTTGAACGGTTACTTATGAGCAGTCTGGCCGAAATATAGCCCCTCTTTAACTCACTTAGTGACTAGAAAGTCACCTAGACCGGACTACGCGCAGTATGATTTTGACCAACTTTGGGTCGATTTCCAGAAACTTGGGAGATATTTCCCAACCCTAGGGACTCTAAACTAATTCGAGAAGACTTTGGTTTTCAGTGAAATGGGTAGAGGAAAAATTTTTCAACGGTTACTTACGAGCAGTCTGGCCGAAATATTAACTCACTTAGTCACTAGAAAGTCGGGGAGACCGGGCGACACGCAGTGTGATTTTGACCATCTTTGGGTCGATTTCCAGGAACTTGGGCGATATTTCCAAGCCCTAGGGACTCTAAACTAATTCGAGAAGAGTTTGGCTTTCAGTGAAATGGAGAGAGGAAAAATTTTTGAACGGTTACTTATGAGCAGTGTGGCCGAAATATTAACTCGCTTAGTGACTAGAAAGTCGCCGAGACCGGGCTACGCGCAGCGTGATTTTGACCAACTTGAAGTCGATTTCCAGAAACGTGGGCGATATTTCCCAGCCCTAGGGACTCTAAACTACTTCGAGAAGACTTTGGTTTTCAGCAAAATGGACAGAGGAAAAAGTTTTGAACGCTTACTTATGAGCAGTCTGGCCGAAATATAGCCCCTGGTTAACGCACTTAGTGACTAGAAAGTCGCCGAGATCGGGCTACGCGCAGCGTGATTTTGGCAAACTTTGAGTCGATTTCCATAAACTTGGGCGATATTTCCCAGTCCTAGGGACCTTAAAATAATTCGAGAAAACTTTGGTTTTCAGTGAAATGGACAGAGAAAAAATTTTTGAACGCTTACTTATGAGCAGTCTTGCCGAAATATCAACTCACTTATTGACTTGAAAGTCCTCGACACCGGGCTAAGCGCAGCGTGATTTTGACCAACTTTGGGCCGATTTCCAGGAACTTGGGCGATATTTCCCAGCCCTAGGGACTCTAAACTAATTCTAGAAGACTTTGGTTTTCAGTGAAATGGACACAGAAAAAATTTTTGAACGGTTACTTATGAGCAGTCTGGCCGAAATATAGCCACTGTTTAACTCACTTAGTAAATAGAAAGTCGCCGAGACAGGGCTACGCGCAGCGTGATTTTGACCAACTTTGGGTCGATTTTTTTTATGAGCAGTCTGGCTGAAATAAAGCCACTTAGTGACTAGAAAGTCTTTGACACTGGGTTACGCGTGATTTTGACCAACTTTAGGTCGATTTCCAGGAACTTGGGCGATATCTTTGAGTTCCAGGGACTCTAAACTAATTCGAGAACACTTTGGTTTTCAGTGAAGTGGATAGACTGGGAGGAAAAATTTTTGAACGCTTACTTATGAGCAGTCTGGCCGAAATAGAGCCCCTGTTTAACTCACTTAGTGACTAGAAAGTCGCCGAGACCAGGCTACGCACAGCGTGATTTTGACCAACTTTGTGTCGATTTCCAGGAACTTGACTCTAAACTAATTCGAGAAGACTTTTGTTTTTAGTGAAATGGACAGAGGAAGCAGTTTTGAACGTTTGGTTGTGAGCAATCTGGCCGAAATATAGCCCGGCACTTAGTCACTAGAAAGTCGCCGAGACCGGGCTGCTCGCAGCGTGATTTTGACCCAGTTTGGGTCCGTTTCCCGGAACTTGGGCGATATTTCCGAGTCTCAGGGACTCTAAACTAACTAGAGAAGACTTTGATTTCAGTGAAATGGATAGAGGAAAAATTTTTTATCACTTGGTTATGAGCAGTCTGGCCGAAATAGAGCACCAGCAAACCTTCATTTTGAGTACTTAGAGTTGATTTCGAAGAGCTGGGACGATATTTCCGAGTCCCAGGGACTTGAAACTAACTCGAGAAGACCTTGTCGTTAAGTGAAATCGAGCAGGATGAGAAAAATAATCGCAAGCTTGGTTACGTGCATGCTGGGCGAAATATAGCTTACTCAGAGACTGGAAAAAAGCAGAGACCTGGCTGAGCAAACTTCGCTTTTGAGGTACTTAGGCTTGGTTTCCAAGAGATTGAGCGATACTTCCGAGTCCCAGGGACTTGAAAGTAACTCGAGAAGACCTTGTACTTTTGTGAAATCGACCAGGGAAAAATAATCGCAAGCTTGGTTATGTGCATGCTGGCCGATATATAGCTTACTCAGACACTGGGAAGAAGCAGAGACCGAGCTGCGCAAACTTTGATTTTGACCTACTTAGACTTGAGTTCCCAGGGGCTTTTTCTCCTTACTTGTAAACCTGCGACGCTTCATTTCTTTGCCCGATTAATTTCCTCTCGCCCCAACTAACTGCCCCTGGGTCTCCGAGGATGCCAGTTCCTTTGACTTGGAGGAGAACGCCAGCTTCCACACCTCTCTTTAACGTCAACTTCAAGTGCGTGCTGGCGTCATCACCACCCTTGTAGCTGGCCTCGATGTATTTCTCGATGGCTTGTCGTGAGGAACCGACTCGTTCTTCCATGTCGATGTACTCTGGGTGATCAGGAAGCGCCTTGGATGCCGGCTTTTTTTTGTCGGATACATTGGAAGGACTTTCAGTCATGATGAATCAAATATAACTGGACACCAATCGAAACTGGAAAATGACTTTGCTGGTCAAGTGGGAGTCAATTATCGAAGTAGTGTGGACCACCGAGTAAACAAAAAACCGTACACTCGACCTCAACAATGTTAGGAGACGTTGTGCTTGTTGGTTGAATTTGAAGACATTTTAAGTAGCTTCAAAGCTTGCCATTCGCTTTAATTTTACAGTTTGACAAAGGGAATTTATTGCACAATGCCAAGCAGGGACTTTATTTGCCCTAAATTATCTTGAAGAGCCGATATTTTACTTTTAATTTTAGTATATTCGCCCAAAAGTTTAACGTTCTCGTGCTTACAGTTGAATTTCTTGAAAACTATCCAAACATCTCGCACGCACACTCTAGGATATGAAAGACCATTTAACTAAGAATTCATTTTAAGTTAGAGGACGAAATAATCTGAATTATTATATGGCTAGCTCCGTGAGCGGGCAAGATGAATCAAATCCTGCGCTGTGATTGGCTACCCGAGCGGGCAAGATGGAGCTATCTTGCCCGCT